GTATATATCACGACAATCTATCGTAAAACAGGGGTTCTAGAAAACCCATTTCCCGATGCTCCTGAAACCTGAAACTTTTTTTGCAGTCGATTTGGTCAACGTCTAGACGCCCTGAAAAATTTCAGATCTCTAACTCAATTTTAACATGGTTTTTAAGGCACCTGAATATGGCGATTTTGGGTTTTTTACCGAATTTCGTATAACAGTGCTGGCGCAGTATTTTATGCAAATTTCTTAAAAATCTCAACATAACTATTTTTTATTCCTGTCATCTTTGACATCAAATTAGAATGTTTTGAACTAAAAATAAATCTGCTGAACGACTTCCGATGAGTCTTAATGCCTGAAAAACTCCTGCCGGAGGCGGCGGCCTTCGGCCGCCGCCTCCGGCCGGAGTGCACGCTTCGCGTGCACGAAAGAGGCTTCCGACGAGTACCAAAGGGGTTATAATAGTAAAGGGGGTATAATAGTAAAGGGGGTACAATAGTAAAGGGGGTACATAGTATACCCCCAATAAAGACACCGCTCGTGCTTGCCAGCACTGTGATCATTAGACCATTTCTGTGGAGTTGTTATCTCGTTTTACTTTTGTTAGTCGGAGTCCTGACTCTGATTTCTTGAGTTTTGGACTCCGTTTCCCCCCAAAATAATCAACAATTTCAATGTTGGTCACGTGACACGTAAATGGTTTAGAGGTAAGACGGATAATAAGGATCTGGATTCTGGGGATAGCTCTCCTTCGTAATATATAACAGGTGTTTTTAATATGTTTCTTACTGATTACTTTTTTGTTGTTCTAAATATATAAAAAGTCGGAAGATGTCAAGATGTATGTTGATGGCAGCATTGGTAACCATTACATTGGTAATTGGTAACCATTGAAACCATTGGTAACCATTGGTAACCATTGCATTGGTAACCATTCTTAACGAACTCCGAAATCAATAAACTTCAGAAACTGGTAACCAAGTCCCCTTCACAGATTCAATACTCCAACCTATCAGTGGTTCAACAATCAACACCTGTACCAGTGGTTCAACAGTCAACACCTGTACCAGTGGTTCAACAGTCAACAGTGGTTCAACAGTGGTTCAACAGTCAACACCTGTACCAGTGGTTCAACAGTGGTTCAACAGTCAACACCTGTACCAGTGGTTTAACTGTCGACACCTGTACCAGTGGTTTAACAGTCAACATCTGTACCAGTGGTTCAACAGTCAACACCTGTACCAGTGGTTCAACAGTCAACAGTGGTTCAACAGTGGTTCAACAGTCAACACCTGTACCGGTGGTTCAACAGTGGTTCAACAGTCAACACCTGTACCAGTGGTTCAGCAGTCAACATCTGTACCAGTGGTTCAACAGTGGTTCAACAGTGGTTCAACACTAGCAACTTGCAACAGTCAACACCTGTACAACAAGCTCTCAAACGTTTCAGAAAAGAGTATTTTCTGTCGTAATCGTTGACGCAAAGGAACCCTCTCAAATCAAAGCATTGCTGGTCTCTTTTTCTTGGAACAAAGGGCACCAAATCGACGCAATTCTCTAGAAAATAAGCACCATCTTGAAAATGTTCTCAGTAAAATGACTCTATAGCTAGAATATATCAACCTCTCGTCTTCGGTTGGCCCACAGTCGATTAAAAATGAGTCATGTGGGAAACTCGCGTCGAAACTTAAATTTCACGTCTATTGCAAAACATACAAGTACAAGCTGTGCATACAGGGGATACAGGGATAGGCGTCATAACGACCTGTTTCCTCAAACAGATAATCACTTAATTACAGGTAATTACTGCCAAGTCTTCAGTGTTTTTCACGTGCGACGTGTGCGGTTACCATGGTAACGATCATATCCATACACCGAAAACTGGTGATTTGTCAGTTAATGCTGGTTGTGGGGGAGGATTTAAATTTGGGTGATTTTATTTTTGATTTTGCGGAAATTGTGGTAGTCTGTTATTCTGATTTCTGGTGGTAACGTTATCTCTTTAAGCACTGAGAGACACAATCACGTACGCGTTAAATAATCGAAGTAGTAAGTTAAAGCAAGATAACAGTAAGCAAGATAACAGTAAGCAAGATAACAAGACACACAAATCCTACACCAAACCACAACACAATGCCAATACCATGGTTTTGAATATTAATCAGATATGTAAATCTGTGTACAGATACCTGTGTAGTATGTAGTATGTAGTATGTGACCTTAACACTAACAGGCTGTAGAGGTCCATTGAGATAAGCATGTCGTTATTAGGAGGTAGGCGTCGGAACCCTAAAAATTACACACTATTCTCAGTTTTATGCAGTTTGATTGCAGCAAGGGTAATCTGTGATCTAAGACAACATCTTCCTTTGTCGGCTTTGTGAATTACAAGCTGCTTCGTTGGTATTTAAAGTGTTGGGTTTTGAGAGTCTAGTTTACTTGTCCTCATTTATTACCTTATTCTACATGTTTGTTGAAGGAAATCGTTTTCATCTGCTCACTGTTATTAAGAATAAAGATATCTTATTATCGGCTTGAAGTCGGCGGTAAGGCAGAAGCACGTGTTTTCGAAAACAAAAGTTGTTTTAATTGGTAACATATTTAAAAACAATGACAAAAATGTCGAGAAAATCTAAGAACAAAACGTTTCTCGGCTGTCCATGTGTCCACTCAACTAGAAATTAAGATTCCATTGTTTGAAAATTAAGAGCTTTTAATATTATGAAACTTTGACAAAGACCACGCAGCTGGATCTATCGGGGAAGTACAATGTGAAATGTAAAATGTACATGACATCACTCTCCAGATAAGAAGTTATCCCAGCCAATCTAAAAGTACTAAACAAAGTTAAGTAATTCAAAGACTAAGAAACTCTAAAATGGTTCATTTAACTTGATATTTGAGATAATGAAAAGGGTGTACTACAAGTTGCAAAAAGATAACATCCTTTAAAAGCTGAGCAGTACAATGTAAGCACTCAACAGCACATTGACATCGCTCTTAGCAGACAAATGAAGTAATCTGCCCAATTCGGTATAATACATGAAGTTTAACCACAGCTCAGCCTGATATCACAGATTATCATTAAACCTTAACACTAATGGATCTGATCCTGATCTCGTAATGGCAGAGCACTTATCCTGAAATGATGGCAGTGTTACTGCTGAGTGCTAAGGATGGAGAGATTGCTTGTGCTAATGTTGTGTTTTTCACACCCTTCTTGAACACAGACATATTATGTTCTGTGTTATCTTACTAAATGTGCTGCATACTTTCGGAGATCATTCCATCTTTGATTTCACAGATCACAGATCTTTACATGAAATAAGTTCTGCTTGAAAAATAACTAAAGACTGATGTTCACTAGTCTAGATGCACTATTTTCATCATATTCAGATAAGTTGATGGTTGACGATGAAACTAAAGCTCTAAAGGCACTTCTAACGGCTTTAAGAAACCAGCAGGTGCACACGTTACACGTATAATTGCATATATCAGAACTAAATGTCTTTTAATTCTCTTTAAGATATTCAAATGTAATTCACTGCTCAGAACAGCTGCCAACTTCAGTACTGAGAGTATATTTGATAATTCAACCTAACTGGTATGTGCTTTGAAGTGAACCATTTACATAAAAAGTTGCCAGATTTGTTTGGGTGCACTCAGTTTCCTCACAGCACGACGAACCAAGTAAATTTAATTAACGGCTGTGGAATGTGGTTGTTTGCGTCATTTAGCTTGACCGCACGATGTATCTTATACATTCTGCAATGTACACTGTATCTAATGGTTCTGGAACAGTGCAACTTTGTGGTATATTACACGCCTAATTAGTTCACCTTGACTTCCGTAGTTTTAAATTTGATTGTATCTACTGCCACGGTGCCTTACTGTGTATATATCTCGGTAGCACTAGTAGCAGTGGAAGCAGTGGTAGTCACTACTAACCAACTATGGAAATGATCGGAAAGTGAATAAATCAAGAAAATTATATTTTGAGACAAAACCTTGACCCTTTTGGTTGTGTCGTGGTATAATCTAGAAAGGTTAATAATTAATGTAAAATCACCATGTAATGGTTTAAGTAGATACACTTCGTGCATGCAACATGTATTATTGTGTTATTGGGTTTAATATAAGCTTAAATTGAAGAATTAATTAAGGCATGCTGATAACAAAGTAGATGGGAAATATGTAAGAGATAAATCAGAGATTGAAAGGGTGGCATGCTGTTACATCAGGTTAATAGATAATGTAAGCGGTTAAGAACCCTTAAAAACAGCATGAAGATTAGAAGATAAGAGATTAGAAGATCATAGAATTGAAGATAAGAACATTCAATCAGACGAGATAAGATTGTGTTGGCGAGCGAGTGAACATTTCGCTGATATACCTTTGAGTACTCCATCATTTCTTGAGCACTCATAACCACCGTCACAACAGGAAACATAGAGCTGAATCTAGATTTAGGGGGTGAAGAGTCGTGGTTCTCAGTCGTGTTCTCGTCTATTACTGGCAGAAAAACACTGTTTCTATCTTCTCTTCTTTCACTTTCTTCTTTTGATTCACTTTCACTTTCTTCTTTTGATTCACTTTCACTTTCTTCTTTTAGTTCAGTTGGGTTGAGCTAAACATTGGTTATTTATTCGTGATTCATACGGGTTTAAACTCTTACAGAGAATGTATAAGTCACGAATCAAGCGGAAGTACGAAGAACCTGGCAGCAGATCAATAAACCAATTATATAATTACATAATGGGACGTATAATAATGGTAACCAACAATATAAAGCCCCCTAATTGGTTCTTTAAATACAAATGTACAGCTTTTCACCAGCTTGATATAATGACTTACGACAACCACAAAAGCATTTGAAATCAGCACTGATCCAACTCAAGAACCATTATAGTTCACATCATATAGCTACATATAGCTAATATAGCTATACATCAACTAATATAGCTCTAACAGGCAAAGCACAGCAGTGGATCAAGCATGCAGCTTAAAATTACCATTTCTAAACCAGCCGCCCCCATTTCCTCCTCTTCAGTAAGTATCCTGGGATCCCGTTCTGTGGTGTCCTCAGTGAAGCGGACACTAGGCTGGACCGGGGTGTCACCGGTAATGGGTGATACTGGGATTTCACCTTCGATCTGTTTGTTGTGCGGGTGGGATTTACAGGCGGGTTGGGGGTAACGTAAGAGCATGATGTGTTATAGAAATTCTGACTCTAGAATTGTATGAAGATAGCTAGATAAGTTTCACGTGTCCGATGTTACCCAAAAAACAATATTAAGGATATTTCTCAATTTAAATGAGTAATTAGTCTTATATAAGTCAATTTACCGTGGATAGTCTGATGTCACCTCTGTCTGGATCCTGCTGAGAGCGAATCACTGCATTCGGGGAGGCTCGTCATCTGACTCATCGCCTGAGATAAAATCAGTATTTTACTTTTTGCCGAGTGTTACACGAGCTGGGAGGCGATGAATCTAAAATTCACACTTGGGCTTTTGAGTTTTTTCGCGATTTTGCAGCCATACATAGATGACTGATTTAAGGTCGGATGATATATCACAGGCACGGTCGTTACGGTATAAAAACAACACTTTACGATATTCACGGATATTATTGAACAAATTAAAACGCTTGTTTCTTTGGGTATTCGATTTAGAGGAACACAAGATGGAATACAACCTAGGTTCCCACGACTAGTTTAGCTGATAACACCTAAAAGCAGACTGAAACTCACAGTTAATCTAGGACAACAGCACAACTCACAAAACTACACGAAACAAGGCCCACATTAAATCTGTCAAACTTGTCACGTGATAGGTGTGCTGCAAAGGACTGTGTCTAGTAGACGAAGAAGGACTGTGTCTAGCATCAAGATACGCTGGAGCATGGAGTGAAGTTGATGGTGGGGGTGGTGCAGGACTTCGCGGTGGAAGAGGAGAGGGACCTCGCGGTGGAAGAGGAGAGGTAGTTCGAGGTGGGGGTGCAGGAGGTGGAGGAGTGTTTACAGTAGGAGGTGGAGGATCCGGAGATAAGGTTGCTGAACAGAAATTCAGAATCGATAGAGAATTTGGATACACTTTTGAGTTTCACAGTCGATATTGAGATATCATGATTGATGTACTTGCACTGAAGAACTTTATTTGCGGAACACATACTAAAAGCAGCAACTACATACCTGGGAAGTATCTAGTTGGTGCGTAGCATACCATGATGATGAATGAACTCCTCGATTCTTATAAGACCTCTTTCTCCCAATTTAAAGTATCACTACATTGAATGAACAACTGATGTAACACGAAAAAAAGAAACAGAAAGTGAGCGTCTCTCTTGACAAGGTATAAAAATGACTGCTTGTAAATAAGATACGGTTTGTCTAGCCCAAGGTAAACATGGCATGGTATGTGGCAAACAATAGCAACTAAACAAACTTCCTACATTAGATATGTGTTGCAGTTGGCATAAAAACAACCAAAAACATACATACTAGTATATAATATAATGCTATTTCATTTATCTGCACTACTGAAGTATATATACATAATTATATAATTGATGACACGGTAGTCCTAGATCAGTGTTCTTAACAACTTAGAACCATTTCCTGTTAATGAAGCTTTGGAACAGCACATAACATGACATCCAACCTTACAGTACAAGTTGAACAGTTCCTAAAAACGATAACATTCCGTTATGAAAAGTGCTTACTGTCTGAAGCTATCAACTGAACGTTGACCTCGTCCTCCTCTTCTTCCTTGGATCCACTTCCTTTACCTGAATGTTTATAGATTTCTACATTAATAGAATTAAACATTAAAAGCTAGTATCAGTCATAGTAAATTTATATCTCCAGACTACGCAATTAGGTGTGATTCAATGAGAAGCGTTCTTCCAAACTATCTCAAAAATGTCTGAAACTTGATAAAACTTAAAGATTTAAAACATTCACAGTACTACACAACGATAATCTGCCTACCCATCAGATACATATCTTTATAATGAATGTTCTTTGGACATGATCAGAAATATAAAACAAGTAATTACTTACGTGTAGTGCCTTCACCTTTGTTTCCATCTGCCATCTAAAACTGATATGACATTAATTTTAAAAGACAGCATGAATGTTTTTAGGATCCATAACCTTGGATATATTAACAACATAATTTGTTGTAAATTTCATGTCTGGTCTCGAATGATCTTGCTTATCTCTCTCCTCTATACAAGCTATATTCTTGCATTCAACAAGGAGTATAACTACTAGAGACTGTTATGACTTCCTTAATGTTCTCGGATCCACAAACACTCTAGTCTGGAATTGTGATGGAGCACACACCGGATTGTGGGGAAACGAAAAAGGAATGAGTTGGCCAAGTTTGGCACAATCAGCAAATCCACTTTGAAGTGCCCTGTTCCACAATTTTATATTAAACACCTGATTGACAACAAAGTCGTGTTAGACTGAAACAGGAAGACTGGTCAACTGATGGACCCAGAGAAACTAATATTATGCGGTTCTAAGCTCTGCTCACAATTGAATTGAGCCTAAATGAAAGGTTTTTCAGTGATCAAACTTTTGTCAATCTTTTGCAGCTGTTAGCTCTGCTGACAAATTTTGTGGCAGCAAGAAACATAGAATTATACATGGCACGAGCCGATAAGGCTTAAGGCTGTCCAGCTCAGTACAGCAAAACAGGTGCATGTAAAGAAGTAAGACTGACTACCAACCTGTGTACCATAATTGCTTGTTATGACCCCACCTTTAAGATTCAAATTAGCTCAACATTGAATTGCGAATGTAATCATTTAGGCTAGTTTTGCACAAAAAAAATGTAATTTAACATAACCTGTTTCGTATTTGATGGGTATTTGAGTTCTAATTACATCACTATACGAAACTGCCAGCTGTTCTGACATTTATAGACTTTAAGAGAAAACAACAATTTCAAGAGAATTTCAAAAAGGCTTTCGACAGTGTACATCGTGGGAAAATGTTCAAGATTCTAGAAGCTTACGGCATTCCAGTTAAAATTGTAGAGCTTATACGGCTTATGTACGCAGTACTAGAAGACAATGGCCAAAGTCCGAACTCCAGACGGAGAAACGGAATTTTTAGAGATACTAGCAGGTGTGTTACAGGGTGATACCTTAGTTGTTAGTTTCTTACCTCAAAATATCAGACTTAGTTCCGACATAGTAGTAGTAGTAGTAGTGGTTATTGTAGTAGGAAAACAAATTTTAGGAAAACAAATTTAAATTTTGGTATTTATTAATAACAATCAAAACATATCATATCATAAAAATAAAGCCGCACGTTGGTTGACTGCCTCAGTAAGGTAAATAATTTAAGCTTGAAGGTGCCCTGCGCATTTACAGAACCTTATGCGGCGATCACATATTCATGACGAACTGTGAGCGCCAAATTTAATTTAAAGTTTCTAGAAATCATACATCACTACGAGTTACTCATGCTTTTGGATTATAAGGGTGCGGATTGTCAGGTATTTCATTCATTCATACTTAATCGGTTTAAAGCTGTATATTTAGAACTCACTATTGTTTAAACTACGAAAGCAGAACGTAAATAATGGACAATATTGATCATGCCAGTACTGTCATAAACTGTAACCAACTATTTAAAAATTAGATATCTTTTGCTTAATTTTAAATTTTAAGTCATAGAGCAATCTTCTCAATTTTAAAATTTTTAAGAATTATATTTTACCCTAACTATGATGATATGTGGTGGCATTTCATACTTAACTAAATTTCAACTTTGAAAGTAAATAGATTATTAGTGACAACAAAATTATAGTTTAAGACATCCATTCTGCATTGTGTTTCCAATATTAGAATTTATGATATGTATTGATTGAATAATTGGTAATAAATTTAACTTTTGTTTTATTAAAACTTTTGTTTTATTAAATATACCGACGACAATACCAAGGACCCGAGTGCCGCATTGACTTTTCCGGATCCGTTTTTACCGAAGGCTTATCCACCAGTTACTTATGCTGCATGTATAGTCTGATAATATTTTGTCTTATCTCTAGCAAGCATTCTGTAAATTGAAGTGTCGTATTTATTATAGAAGAGCCGGCCAACCTCCGCATTATAATCTTTTGTGTGCCAAGTTCGTTTATAAAATCTAATCATATAATAAGATTGATCCAATAATCTAAGATGAACGGTATATCATAGCTCATCGTTATTAAAATCCGAATGGATGAATTAATCAAGTAATGTTCCCTTTCAACACAACTAAACAACAAACAAATGCTAATTGCTCACCAGTGGTGACGCAATCGTAGGGGCATGCAGTTGGTTCAAATAACTCTCACCCAGACGATGGCGTCGAGAAATTCTCAAATTATGCATTTGCGCCATACTGGACACATTTTATATTTAATATTTTGTGGTTTGTAGAAATTAGTGTTATCTAGTTAAGTAGTAGTATATAATTTAATACAATGTAATATGTGCAAACAACACGACGTTAATTTTATTTAGTTAATGAAATAAATGAGACCTTTGACAGGTTTAAAGTTAACAAGTGACATTTGTTTCAAATATTTTCAACTCAGCGTGCGTCCTGGTTGTATCACGTGGTGACCCCCACGGTCGCTTCACTATAGTGTATCGTCGCTTCACTATAGTGTATCGTCTTCGACGATACAGGGGGAGCCGCGCACTTCGTGCGCGGCGGGTCATACAACGTATGACAACGTCCTGGTAGGTTATAAACCTACAAGTTTAAGGTTATCAATGAGGTACAAACATATTATACATAATATTGCAATGCACCAATTATTACTAAAGTGTGTTAATTAATTTTGTTCAAAGATATAATGCGCGGCGCACTTTTGGTTAAATGCTGTGTTGCGCCTTTTACAATTATTTTTACAACGTACCGAAAGCGAGCGTAAAAATTGATTGACGATGTTAACCCTTTCAGATCGTTGCTCTGCAACCATCTTCGCCGTTTGCGCGGCGCGTCGAAGCGGCGAAGTCCTCCAAACGCGAATGTAGCTTTATTTGAAAGCTTGATTACGTAATTTGTGTCATGTAAGCACTTAATGCGTATTCCACAAATTGAATGCAACGCGTTGGAGGACTTCGCCGCTTCGACGCGCCGCGCAAACTAGCATTCTTGCTTCGCATCGAAGGGAGGGAATAATTACTTTTTCTACAACCAAATTTTGGTTGTAAATTCAATATGGACGATTTGCTGCGCCGCGCGCCGATTTACTTGACATATTACTGTTGCATCGTTTTAAATTAGATAAATGACATCCAATTTATTATAATTAGTATGTAAAATGTAATTAAATGCTAGTATTAAATATTCAAATAAATTTAAAGGAAAATTTTTGGGTTTGATTTGTTAAACTTTAGCTAAGAATGAGTTTAAACATGCGCATCTGTAACTTAATTTTACAACCGTGGTGGATATCGTCGATATTTTTTCGCGTTGGATATTACAAAATTGTCTTAGTACGGCTAGGGTAGCAACAAATTTAAATCCCTATTTATACATGTTTTATGCAAGTTGGTACATATTTGTTGACTGAAGTAGTTTTCAAATATTTATTTTAATATAATAAAGTAGTAAAAATAGTTATTAAGACCATTTTAATGAAAATCCTTTTAAAAAGGAATTGAAAATTGCTATATTAGGCCTACTAGCGGAATTAATTTACTAGGTTGTGGGTCCTTGATCGGATAGGACAGAAATAGTTCCATATTTATGTTTTCTTCATATCATGCTTGCTCTAGATATCTATGCTTGTTTTCTTAGCTCAGTTTTTCGTTCTTACTGTATTTATGCCAGAAGTTTGTAATCGCAAAGCGTGATTTTACTTTTTCTAGCTGGATAGCTGTCGGTCAGTCGAATGTAAAGACTAGTAATATTTACAACTTTCTTTCTAGTTTATGTATGTTTACTTTCAATTAAGATAATTTCACATTCTCAACTGTACAGGGAAAACATTCTGCAGAAGGACTGTTTGCCATTTTTAACAGACTAATCACAATTCTAACGGCCCTGTTCTGTACATTTTTTTTTCCGTTATTCTGTAGATTTTGACTCTGTACAGCAGCAGTTGGCAAAAAGGTGAGAACCGATTTGATTCGAATACATGGTTTGATACAATAATTGATCAAGAATTTGCTAAAACTTAGTAACCTGCAATTTTTTCTTGTTATTATCCTGCTGAAATCTTCTCCAGATTTTATTGACTTTGTCCATGATCTTCTTCTCCGTCAGTATTTCCACTGGCTCCGCTTTGATAAGGTTCTAAACAGAAATTGTAAATCCTCAGCACAATCAACTGTGTAACTTTGACTTAAATAATGTATACATTAATATCATTCTGACTCTGCAACGAAATTGTTTATTCAAATTAGTTAAAGGACGTATAACTGTGTCTGTATGCTCCAAACTCGTCGATCGTTATGAGCCTGTTTTTGTCTCCACTTTTGTCTTACCTTACATTATGTTTATGAATATTCAACCTTCGACTGTTAATTTTCAACAGATTACCGTTCAACAGTTTTAATTCTACTTACTTATCGAAGTTGTGATCATCGAACTCTCATAGTTATGTGCAATGTTAATGCTGTTTTCGTTGGTTTAACAATTAACTTACGATACTTGAGTGCTCTGATATCAATTCTCCTTTACAATTATAATGATTCGCATGATAACGTGCTGACTGCTGGTCTTCAGTCAATCTGCTCTATTGAATGTATTCAAACATAACCAGGAAGACATGATAATGAAGACGTTTAAAAATACGTATTTGAAAACTGTTGCTCTTTTATTTTCCAAAGCAACAGACCCATTACTGTGTTTTAGTAATTCCCTACAATTTACAAGCCATAATATCTTACTGTTTGCATATCTGCAATTTAACCTTGAAATGCTGCTGCACATGTAGTTACCGTGTTTAGAGCAGTGTCTATTTTTCTCAAATTTTGGTCAAATTTATCATGGTAACGATTGATTTGGTTGCTTATTGAGAAACTACCTTAGTTCCCAAAAATTTGTGTGCCATTATATTGAGCACAATTTATTTGAGCCCGAAAAATTTGGGCAGAAAATTTGAACTCATTTGGGCGACCAAAAATTTGGGCACAAATTCTTCGAAAAATGAACGATTTTCCACTAAAAATCGTTCATTTTTAGTGAAATCTGTCATTTCACTTGGTTAAGCCATGAATGACAGATTAGAAAACTAAAATTTCAAATATTATTTCACTTGGATATGAAGAAAAGGCCATCTTTCTATAGATCTCAGGGCCACAGGCTAAATGCCAAAAGTTTGGTTAGCAAAAAATTTAGCAGACGGAAAAGATTTATGCAATTTATTTGGTCTGCAAAAAATTTGGGCGAGAGGCCCGCTCAAATTTTTTGTCGCCCAAATTTTTGGGAATTAAGGTATACTGGATTTACGGGGAATAGGACAGAGAAAATTCTGGACTCCTGTCAGCAATATAAACATTATATTTGTCGTTGCCCGCCCTGATTTGCTTCCTTAAATATGATATAGGTTTGCTATCGCACGGTCGAGAGTATTACTCTAGTAGCTGAGTGTAGTCAAGTGTAATCGTTGATTATTAGGTCATTCCAAACCAAAATCATCCAGATACCCAATAATTAGTATCGCTATGGCCAGTCGTAGAGGGCGAAATTTCTAAATTGCCCTCAGGTGCAAATTTGGGATATTTGTATAAAGGATTTAGAAACAATTGACCAAGTACATTCATACTTTATCTATCCTCAATTCTATCTATTTCATATATATATTCACGAAAATCCACACTGTTAGCCCTCCTTCCCCAAAGTATCGGCCCTCACAGCACTAATAGTGCTCGCTTACCTAGATGAATTTGGTTTCAAATGACCTAATATAATGCAATTTTGGACATGAAGTGCACACTTGACTACACTCTGCTACTCTAGTAATATAGTAATAAATATTATATACGTAGGAGATTTACAACTTATTTATTATAACAGTTGTAATACTTATAATTTTGACATTTCATAAAACAAAATATCTTATTTAACTTTCCAATTTAAATATTGAATAGTCATTAAAAGTGGTTTAATTTCACCCAAATTAATTTTTTAACGAAGGAGGAAGCTGGTATTAGAGGAATATTAAAATGTAATAATTAAATGTAGTGGGATTTGTGTGGTATTGATGAGTGGGTCACTGGAGTACGCAGTAGCCTATAACTCTATAACTGGCGACTGCGGGATAACAAATAATTTTATAACAGATAATTTTACAGTTAAGTTATGCTGTCACTGGATCGCCGGGGTGGAGCAAAGAGCTCGGTTTTAAGAATAATACCTTATAATTAAAGGTATTACGACTTTTATTTCTCTGCGTTAATTAATTGAGGGGTTTTGTAGTATAGCTTGTTGTTCAATACACTGAAGTGTGTACTCGACTTCTTAATATTATACTTAGGTTTCCTAAATATAGCACGGATCATTTTGATTTCGAGTCATAACAATATTTTAAAATATATAATATTTTAAAATAATATTTGGATGTGGTCATGGACTTCCGAGCTTCTTATATTCTTTGCAAATGCTGATACCCACGTGACAATTCCGTAATTTAAATGTGCCCAGTAAAAGCATTTCAAATTTAAGTTAAGTTTATAATGTATATGTTAAATATGTCTCTACATGCCATGTATTACATCTCCCTTACATCTCGGTGTACACTGTTCATGCCATCTTCAGTACATTTTACATTTTTACCGAAACTGGTCGATAATAGAATCACCTAGAAATATTCTTTGAGAAATCACGTGGGCGGCGCGCCGATATCAAGTGACATATAAATCATAAATTTGTAATCAGGGGACCGTACAAAGTAGCGCTCCTTATAAGGTTTAAATATCCCGTTACACGGTTCATACTTGATTTATAGGCTACACTAGAATGTATCGTGCTAAAAAGTCTTCTTGATATCGATAAACGAGGCGCTAACATTTAATTGTCTTACATTAAAATCAGGCGGTATAAGATCAATACGAAAGTTGAAACACAGCTTCAAAATAGTTTATCGAATAATCTTTATTGTTTTTAATGTGTACTGCTAACTGCTCATTTTCTAACATATTTCCTGATCATTATTGTATCTACTAACCAAGTTATCATATTTGGAACAAGAATATGAAATGAATACCTATTTAATGTTGATTCACATATTTCTCTAATTTAATTTCCAAAATTCTGATATCTGATATAATGGTAATCTGTCGCACTTAGATACAATAGGTTTATGTCTTATCAATAAATGATATTTTCTTATAGGATGGTTACTAAGACACTACTCTACTGTCTACAGGAGAAAAACAAGTCGACTTGCCTTATGCTTTGTTTTGCGTGTTTCAGCTGATGACTATAACTCTCAAGTGCGAAATGTTTGTCAAATACAACTATAAAAGGTTTTTATTTAAATGTCGATAAATTGGGAATGTTTGAAACAGAGTTTTACAGTGGAACATTTTAATAAACTAACTTATGATAGCTGCTAAGCTGAAATTATCATGATTCATTTTTCAGCAATATGCAATGATTAGTGGAATATGAGTTAGGATCTGTTTGGTCCGTTTCATGGCGAAAACATTTAATGAATATTTTTTCAGGGACGAATGGATATCAACCGTTTGTGTCATGGAGGATATTTTCTGGTCAATTTTCCTGTAAGCATGACTTATTGAGATTAATGATTGTTTAAAAATATGTATGTTATAGTTGCAAATTTGAAATGTGTTACGTCTTGCAAAGATCTGACGATCACAGTCAAATCAGTAAAATATCGAATGGTTGTTCAGTATCACGTGGAGCCGCACAGCTACGGCTTGGTGGGGTAATTCGTCGCAAACGCTCATCAAATAAGGAAGCGTTCACATATTACGTGAGCAACGTTTTGATAATTTTTACCCAAGCTCTAGCTCCCCTTCTCTGTCAGTAACTGTTAGCATTTGGCGACTCTCCCCCCTCTCCTCGGCTCCCCAATATACGTCCTCATTTGCTAGACCTCTCCCCGACCCCTGGACCAAATTTAAAATGGGGCTCAGTCGACTGATTTTATACAGTTGTTCTACAATTAAGTTTATTTCACTGAAATATTAATATCAAGCTGGAATCAAATTCATTGGAATTAGATCAATTTTGGCCAACATTTAGGTATGTTTGCGGACATTCAGCAAGGCCGAGACCCCTCCCCTCCCCTCCATCTCTCGGCTGCTGACGTAATATATAAACGCTCTATAAAATTCGGACTTTTTTATTATGTTCTATTTGTCTAACTTGATAAGCGGGCATATTCTGTCCCAACCCAGGATGCACGACATGAAGAATTCGTTATAACTTTGTATGAAAAGCATTAATATCATTATCACTGTAAATGGTGCAGTTTTAACTACGTTCTATTCTTTCGTCTACAAAGTTAACGAATTGGACAAGAAACTCTTCCTGTAAGAGATCATCTTCGTTATCCGAAACGTCTTCATCTTCTTCTTCTGTCTTCTCTTCCTCATCATTCTTATCTTCCTCATCATTCTTATCCTCATCATCTTCATTTGTTTCAATCATTCCGATTTCCGCATGAGTATTATTCTTGTAGTACGTGTTCTGATATCTTATCAAACCTAAGGATATGATAATAAGCACCATACAAAATATTCTGTGTTAATTTAGTTCTCTGAACGCATGTTGCCGTATTTACTTTTTATTAATCAAACCCCGCTAGATTTTCAGATTTAAAATAGATACTTAAACCAACAATCTAGTCCAAATTTATTGCAAGCTTGACTTGCAGCCAATTAACCAATCTTTAAGCTTTATTTATATTACAATTACACTGCGAATCATGTACTACTTATCAGCAGCTAGATTAGTTATTTACTTGTCAACATCCAGGTTGTCATCGTTATTTTGCCCCTGTTGTCAAAGTGAATGTTCTTCTTTATCGAGAGGCCGGCAGGTGACTTTCTGCTCGGAGTAAATTTAAATAACTCTCCGTTTTTGACATTATAGAGCAATTTCTCATAAATACCTCCGACTTCCTTCCTTTTGTTCTTCTTTCTTTTTATCCCTGTTTAGGTCATATCAAATTATTTTTGCAGCAAAGCGAATTATTGGCTTTGATACTCTCGAATTGAGTCAATGAAATTTAGTTTCGTTTCGGAGTTGAGTTATCATGGTAGCTAACCTCTAATCTCCTCCTCCACTACCTTCTTGATCGTGTGCAGGTACCCCAGAGCGTTTGCTGTCGTCATCAATGTTTCAAGGGTGAAAGTTTTGCCGATCATTCTAGACAGGATATTATTGAGCAGCTCCATGTAGTAGTCTACCGACTTTCTCCTGCCTGGGCCTACTCCAAGCCCTGAAAGTTTGTAATTATTATATTATACTACAATGTTATCCAGTGAATCACTATAAAATTACCAAATGCATGTATTATAGTGTTTGATGCTACTCTACTCTATACTTGAATGATGGAAACGTTTATCATATCCGAAGCATATTCGATATCCCTTATTGAAACAAAGACAAGTGTCCAGTTATATGTTGGCATACATCCCAAAATGATAATGTAAACTGTACAATATTCCTTTTTGTAATGTTAGGAATTTGTGACATCAGTTCAGAACTATTGTGTATGACTAGTGTAGCGATCAATAATGAAAAATGTTTACCAATTGTTGTATTATGGCGATACTCATAGGCATCAGCTTCGGAGAGCACGCTTTTGATCATTACAACCCGTCTCAACATTGACTGAGCATATTCTGCCCATTCTTCGAAAGATGGGTATGGTCAATTTCAAGCACCGGGTCTCGCGATCACCATCTCCGTAAGAAATGGCCTTCTCTAAGTTGCTTAAAAGCAAGCCTAAATATACGACTAATCTTCCATAATTGAACCTGAAACATCGGTTTAGATAGAACATTATATATTTTACTTAATTATTATCCGTCTGGTTCAATTTTTCAAGTAAAAAATGTATATTTCTTCCACTCACAATAATGTAACAATTAATTATCAGCAGTGACGTGTAAACTTAGAAGAACGTTGGCGCCGTACACCGATATAGACTCCTAACGCATCAAAAGTGAGTGACCAATTATTTTATTTGCGAGAACACCCCCAATTGACGTGTACAACATACATTTCACAAAACATCTGTATAAAATGTTGTGTATATACACATATATGCTATATATAGCATCGGATGCTGTACAGAAGCTATACAGAAGCTATACATAGCATATATATAGCATCGGACCACCAGAAAAATGGTAAAATTGGTGTTTAGTTTAAACTCACAGTTCATCGATTTCGAAAAGGTGGCTAAAGTCCGCTTCGATGATGGCCGCTGCAGACTCATCCTTCAATTGATGTTTATCCCTTAAATGTAGTTGCAGTAATCCTCTATTATTGTACTCTTGCTGCGAATTTAGTATGATTAAAATACTGGTTTGGTTAAAAGGTATTGATAAATGAATTTTAATTGCGATACAGCGAACATTTTCTTATGACAAGTGATGTTGAAGTACGAAAGTTTGAATAGTCGATATTGTGCAAGTTTATTGTTTTCTCCCATTGTATTGCCAATAAGTCGTATTGCCAAGAGTCTAATCCTTGTTTTAATTATCCACGCATATAGCATGTATAATGTGTATTCTATATTTTAATCTAGCATAGAATCATAGTGCTGTACAGTCGAATAGCTGCAAGACCGAATAATGATACCGATGTTCTTCAAAAGAAAAGGAATCAGTATATAATTTTGTATGTTAAATGTTCAATGTTGTTATGCTGCCTCAATAAAGTTCATTTGACAAGAGCGACTAAGTACCTGACAATGTCTGCAAGATAGTAATGGTCTATTTCTGACCCATTGGGATTTGTTGAACTGAAGGATACGTTTTAACAGTAACTTCACATTAAACCTGAAATGGAAACTCATTTGATGGTAACTGTTGGGGTAATGGCAACTCCCGGATACGAGTATATTCCTTCTGATAAGTTAGTGCAGATCCACTGAACTAATTTGTTACCTCACTTCTTGAAGCTGTGCGATTTAGGTGATTTTCTTGCCACATATCAAACTTGATACTTCATTGGAACTTTACAGCCCATAAGGAGTCTGAATAAGGGCCTAGGGGCTTTAAATATTTTACCCCACGCCCACATACTAAAAAAGAGTATAAAAGTTTACAACTTTTTCTGTTTCTAAAAGTTTCTAACCTTAATTTTGTAAGAAAAGCTTCCTTCCCTTCTTTTTTAGCAGACTCCAATTCTTCCTTCATCACGGGATAATCATTAAGCATTTCCAACCAAGCTGAATGTAGTACGGCTTGATAATATATAATGAAAGCGTTACGAGTTTTGCTGTAATTCGCCTTGACCTTCGTAGTTGCTGCTTTTGAGTTACCCAAAGAATAACAGGCTCCCGTAAATGACGCCCTGTCAAGCTTGCTCTCCTCTGAATGAATCATTTTCATGATACACTGAAAAAGAAATAAAATCAAATCAAAACTACTCACTTTTTTTCAAGATAAAAAATTTACCGGTAGTGCGAGTGTGTCTACGCTACGATACATAACATTTATGAGGAGATTTGGTGAAATACATGCATAATACTATCCGTTCCTATGCCTCTACTTTAAAAAGAGTAAAAACACCGAAGAGGACGGAGGAATTGTTGTCGGATAATCGGATTCGTGGAATAGGTACATTTTTGTGTTTACCGTTAGCAACGTTATGAGTGTATGGAAGTTTCCATCTGCTTCCACGGTCTTGTGCAGATGTAAATCGGGCACACTAGAGAGGCTTATCTTAGCTCCTTGTAACCTCTCCCGTGTAAGATAGTCACCATAAAAATATGTCAGCTAAAATAATATGTGTTATCAGTTATGTTACCGTGTAGTGAATATGATTAAATTCTTTGCTTATATCATTCAGAGTTTCCAGGACATGTTTGCCACACATATCGTGAACTATAATTGTAAAGCTAGAGGATTAGATATCGAAATCTACGTGACTCGCTAAATAATTACATTTGACTTGTTCATATACTGCTCACACTCCATTAGAATCTTCACATTGGCAGCAGTACTTGTCTGATTCTCCGGTATAATCCCGAGAGGTACAGTCACGGTCGCTTGGTCCATCACTTCCCTTAGTGGATGATGCAGATGAGTATCTATCCATTCTTTACAGTCTGATAGATCGTCATCTCTGTTTACTAATACTATCATGAAAAGATATTCTGAATCCAGAGAAAACTGATTTAAATCAGTAGTCGATGGGCAGAGATGACTTACTGAGGAAGATAATAACTGTAAGTTGGTAACAGGTCCGGTGGGGGATGGAGCGTGGGTCACAAAGTTTTAGTAAATTAAAGTAAGTCCAGATCTGGCTGGCTTCAAACAAGCTTTACTTTTTAAATATTTCATAATATTACAGTTAAAACTCTTGCTGTGTTCGCTCACCTTCCAATTTCTCGAGTGGAATTTCGGGCTTAGTCCATGAAAGGGTTGGTAGCGCTCTTACTTGTCTCAGTATTCCAGCAATGTGAAACACATCAATTGGCACTGATTTTCCCCATCTTTCATTTCCTATGTTTCGATTGAAGTTATCCCCTACAATATCCACAGCAGGTGACAAAGGGTTGTCCACATTAGCTAACAACTCAGCGTCACACTCATATGCTATACTTACTCCTCCCGTCGCTGAGATATTAATAATTAGCTGTTTGAGTCACCCTAATTCACGTATAGTATTATTTTTATTATTAAGACGATAAGCAGTAATATTTGTTTAAAATTGAAACTGCGTATAATATGCTGATTTATTGGCAGTTACCATGATATTGAAGAAATCGTTATAGCCAAAATCATGGCAAAATTTTTGAAAACCTTGATCAGAATAGTATAACTAAAGGCTTAAAATATTTATCGCTGACCGTTATAAATTATCTGGTGACTCATTTTGCTCCTCCCAATAAACAAATATGGCTCTTTTGCCAATTTTTCCAGAAATTTTATAATTTCTTCGGTATTATGTTTTGTTCCGCTAAATTCTACCGCTTTTAATATCAGAGACTTTGAATCCTTCGCTGCATCTTTAATAATTTCTCTACCAGTTTGACTACCGCATGTGATTCCCATTGTGCCAACGATGTCTAATGCACTGTTTGGCAGACCTGTAGAGAAAATGTTTACTAAAACCTTATAATATGTAACTTTAGGATCATTGATAGGTCAAGGATCAATACAATCAAATAAACATTGTATATTTTATATGGACTATGATTTGTTGTTTGCTAAACTAACAAAAATTTAAATACAGTTACCAGCAGCGATCATCATAACTCCTAATTTATCTGCGTAGATGTTCAGTTGTTGGTTAGTGAGATTCATAATTACTGAAACAGCGATACCAATCCTGTGGTTGACACCGTCTTCAGTGTCGTCGGGTTTATCCATGAGGTTCCTCAAAAACGTGTATATGATGTCACAGTTCTTCGTCTGCACGTCTTTGGTTATATCCAACGGAGATGTTGCTAGAATTCTCCGATGATTATACGTGGACCCGGGGAATATATCTCCTGTGAAGCGAGAGACTTAATAAATGGGGGCAAACGAACGAGTACCATATTTATTCATAATAGTAGTTAGTGCACGTAAAATGTGTAATTTTAACAGCTGACGACGGTCCTCCACTGTCCCTTTACTCCTCGGCCTGAATGAGTGGCTTCCCTTCTCCTAACTGTCTGGTCACTGGTGAACGGTGCAGGTGCTTTATAGGAAGTTCAACTGGAGTACAATATTCCGTTTCGATACGTTATTAAGTTTGAGTGTGTTTCTCTCCATCGATACACGTACTCAAGTTCGACACGTTAGCTAGACCAGAACCGAGTGGTAAACAGGAGAATTAAAGCTATAACTCCTCTGCTATCTTAAATTTTAAATGCGACCGCAGTTTTTATCTCACCAGACTTTGCTCCTCTTAAAATTGACGGCTGTAGCTTAGAAACCATACTCTTCCTCTCCAATTTTAGCAATCTACTGATCGTTAGGAGCAAATCTTCTTGCTGAAGAGGCTGTGGCTGGGCCGACTGATCTTCTGTCATAGTGGAGGTGCTCTGAAATGGTTAAAAATTGTTTAATTTAATCGAATAGTCGCAGTAATTTTAAATATCGACCTAACGAAGTTGAATTATTTCACGCTTAGTTATGGACTGATGGAATCGGGAACTAGTTATTACTATCTACTTTATGTACATACTCGAAGGGTATGAGGTCTGATATCGTAATTTCCTGTGTCCTCTCGTTTTCGCTTGAGTGGACTGCAACTAAGATCTCCCAATTTCTCGCGCATCTCTTCTACCTGTCAAGTTAGGTGTCTTACAAATTTATACCTAGAGGGGGATGATTTAAAAATTGATACGAAATGTTTTTTTTTTTCAGGAGTTTTCAAAATACATATCGTCTTTAGCTTACTAATTTATAGTTTATCAGCCGGTTATATTATGGCGATGATAACCCTTTCAACCCACTCGTTCAAGTTCATATACAAATTTTACTGACCTTTGAGTATTGAGCACGAAGTTGATTAATTGACCTAAAATCTTTTCTGCACAAAGTCATCATTTCGCCTGGGAAGTAACCTTTGAGGAGGTAAAGTATGTTCTCAAAAGTTGTTTTAGCAGTTTCTGATTTGTTCTTTGCGGAATCGCTGTACACCATAACATAGTTACTATCAAAATTCCCGCACAAAGTGCATTCCCTGTTCTTATCAGAAGAATTGCGCTTCGATTTAGCTCTTCCCTTGCCTTTATTAACTGTTTCTGTAGGATGTTGGGCTGTGTTATCTCAAGCAAAATAGATTGAAAGATTGAACACTTCCAATTGGTTTGAAACTTTTCCTTATCAGCTGGAGGTCACCCTGTACAAGTCATATAACTTATACATTTTTATTCCAACGCATTTACAACTAGAGTAACACCTGTAATTGTAGAATTCTCGTCAGCATTCAATAGATTTTGCGTGTCAGGTAATGCAGCGTTTTCAATGTTAGCGCCAGTTTGTACTGAGGTAACTGTAAGATCGTCCTGAAATGATGTTTCGTATATATTTGAGCCTACTGGGACGCTATCTATGTTACAAGAAAAATGTTGACAGTACAGCGCATTGCACACTGTCTCGACCTCTAAAAGTTAAATTCAATTCGCTGACCTTTGCGGGTGAATAAAGTAGCAGATGGAAATTAGTAGTGCTTGATTGGATGTATATCTAGATAAATGTACAATGTACATTGTTCATGTACTATATTTATATATATACGATATGATTTACGGGTATTCTTAGTTTCCAATTTTTCCAAGCATACCATTTCAGATGTACCAGGCTCTTCTCCGTCAGAAACAACAGGTTGAGGAGATTTGACTCTTAAAACTGGGCTCCCAGATACTGTTACTTCAAAACCCTGGAATTTAGTGCACGTTTATTTGTTGGTTACAGTACTATCTCAAAAAATGGAGAAAATTTAATCTTGTGATTTTTCTGTACATGATATTGTAGGGATTATCTTCTTCAAGCACTCAAATTATTTGTACTAAAAGAATTGTTACTTTAATGCACTATATATCGTAACCCTAATATATCGTTAACCGTAAAACTTACACCCTCTAAATTTTCGCCTGCAGGGACACTCTCGTATAAACTCTTCAAGTAGCGTCTTAAATATCTAACTTGGAGCTCTGCTATGATACAATAGTACGTCCCTGAAATATTTTAGATATTTATGCGCCCGTTGTAACATTCGTATATAGCAATAGCATAGTCTTCCTTTTATTATCCATCTGTAGTCCACCGAATGTTATTTATCATTAGAGAATCTCTAAGTATACTTACCTCCTATTATAGCAAATAACAGTCCAACAAACAGGAATATCAATATTGCTACATGATGAGCCTCAAAATACTTTATTATAAAATCAGGCAAGGACATGTCAAGATTTTACGAAACAACGGACAAATGAAATTTTACTACATGTACCTTATCTGTGATTATTTATGAGGGTATTCATTATGGCATATCGTATTTCGTCTGGTGTTGACAACATCAGTACGTCAGTTAGCATTAAATCGAGTGGAATGGAGAAACCTGTCACGTCGTACAACACATGTGTTGGGGGTTGTTCAAAACATATAAGTGATACAAAATTTTTATTTAGCAGTCGCTTTAAAAATAAATGTGTAAATCGTCTTCAGCGTCTTCTGATGTTTGTGATGCAGATTGCAGGCCATTCCAACGACTTGGAGGAGACAGATTTATGTAGCATGTATGAATTATAACGTCTGAGATATGAGTATTGATCAGATAAGAATTTTGTTAATTAATTTTATGCATTAAATAGTGATCTTTATATTGAATTAAAATTGCAGTCGTCCCTGTAATTTTAATCTTCGATTGCAATTCAAAGGATTATTAACTTTACTTTTTTCAGTTGAAATTTTAGGGGACTGCTGATGCCTGACATTGTCCTCATTCCTGCATGCGTAACTTCGGGGAACTGTGCAGAAAAAAGTAGTACAGTGGAGGTTTTATCAGCAAGTGGAGTTGGAACAACGTCTCCGGAATCATGGAGGGTGGCAATGAAAATAATTTTCTTACAGTCACTTATACCTGCTGACCAAGGATTTTCGCTAAATATGCAAAATATTGCATCAGGATTTGATCGAGGAACGATGGCATTCTGCTTAACATGCAGCTTTGTTTAACTGTTTAACTACGTAATAATGGGGGAGATATTAGATGAGGATGTGATATATTATGGTAATATCGTCTATTATATGTAAATTATTAATACTACTGAAAAGAAATATCCAGCTTATCAGGATTTAACCTAACTCTAGTGAAATGAGCATTAAGATATTCAAATTTGTATAATGTTTGAGTATTTCCTTGACTAACTATAACTTCAGTCAGATTTGCAGTCAGCAATGTAGGCTTGGAGTACACTGTTGTATTAATATAAGAGTTTTAAAATATTTAACCTCAATCAACAATCAATACTATGTCCTAAATTTTATTTGCTTGTAAAATTGAATACGGTATTTCAATTATATAATACAAATTTCCTGCGTAATATTACTGGGCGGCACTCAGCTTGGCATTCCGCCGAATCTCTATGTTTATGAATACATTATAGCCATAATAGCCTGGGGTCCCCCGTCCCCATAATCACATTATGAGATAAGGCGGAATGACAGGCTAGGCGCCCCCCAGTAGTAAGGGACCTCAGGCTGTAATGTAATGTTGATGAATCATGAATAATACATTCGGCGGAATGACAGTCAGTTTTGCAGCTGCCTGCCAGCAATACGGGAGCAGTGCGCGGCTCTCAGCTCCACACGTGCTAGATTACCGTATTGGTTACCAAAGTGCACATTGTCATCAATTTCATTTGGCGCGGCTCACAATGCGCGTGATGAAAGTAATTATCTCAATCCGTCGACGATCGTTGCTCTGCTTCGCAGAGCAACGATCTCGACGGATTGACGTCGTCAATCAATGCAACGCGATGTCGTCAATTGCTAAGGGACAAAGTGTTTTAAATTTAATATTGAAAGTTTGTGATGCGATGCACTACTAGGCCACGCCGCGCATTAAAAATGCTTAATAATGTTTAGCTTCTTCGTGAGATTTTACCTTTGATAAATAGCTAATCTCTTAATGTGTTGGATATCAATTGAATTATGGATGAGGATTAGAAAGCAATTGTCTTTGCCTCACAATTGAAGGCTGTCACATATCAGTTGTTGTATGTCATGACAACTAGATGCAAGATACTCATTGGAAACTGGATCCTAGTGGTATTGCTAAATAATCCGAACTGTTCGGTTATATTTCAAATGCAGCTGAATTCAATCAAGTATTCGCCATATCATTTTCACATAATGCTTTTGATCAATAACTTCCCAGTTCCTAGCCAAATGATCAGGAAATTCATTGGTTTCCTACTCATTCTTTTATGCTAGCTTCTAAGCTTGGGCAATTAGGGAGCTATTGATTCTTAAGATTGTGACTCGGTTTGCTGGGCAAATCGATTCAAAGTAAATGAATCGTGAATGCACTATGAGCAGAAGGTTCGGGTTTCAATTCCAGTGTCACCTAATGTAGGGAATTAGCTAATGATTCATCTGGATCTATGCGAAATCTACTTGGTTGATAGAGTTAAACGAGGAGGGGTCTTGCCAAAAGACAATATCTTATGGTACCCCTTCAGTGCATATACATTGTAGTTGTAATACTTTCAACACTACTATATAACAAATAATTTGAGCATGAATACGAAGTTGTTACTTTGAAACGTCGTTTATCTTAACACTAACAGTGCAGTATCATTTGTCATAAAAAATCAGAATAATCAGAAATTATTTGGAACTGACAAAAACTGTCTATACATTTTAGTGTACTGTAAAATAGTACCATGCTATATATAGCATAGTTTCTGCATTTTTACAGAATGCAACATTAATTATTAACATTACAGTTGTTGGTTACAATTTTACAATTTAAGATTCTCTTGTTCTCCCCACATATCATTGAGCATTTAATTATTTTTGATATTTTTGTTTCCAAGAAAAATTTGTTTCTCTATAAATCTTCTATTTCACTAGTAGAATAGGCTGAGAATTGAAACAACTTACATTCGAGTCCACCTAAATTTTTTAGATTAACCACAGTTCCTTTATAAGCATGAACAAAGACGAATCTGACAACGAATATAAAAGCAACAATGATGAATTGTCAAAGAGTAGCGCATTGGCTGAAGCTAACAGTTCCTTAGATGAAATCTTCCGACGCAAATGCCAAGCTTTTTTGGCTTTGGTTACTGTTGTCTTCTTTTTAGCTTGGGCAGAGGTAAAAATATAATTGCATTTTTGTTCGATTCTTGAATTTAAAATCCTATTTCAATTCAAGTTCATGTATATGCTTCTATATGCTTCAGAAATATCAGAGTTATTATAGAAGTTATTTAGCCAATGGAATTACTTTCTAGTTGATATCACATGTTATAACCTCTCCACTCTCCAGGTGTTGTCAGTTCCAAGGAAACTCCTCCATTTACATCAGATAATAACGAATCAGAAGAAACCAAGAAAAGGTATATCAAAGCCCTTGATTGTAAATGGTCCTAGAGTAGATACCAACTTCCACGATTTATAGAAGACAGAAGTGAATAATGATGAAGTTTATCCAATGAAGTAGATATTTGTTGATAAAGGGTATTTAAACAATTGTCTCACAGGTTCTGTTCTGCTGTTATTGGGATGGTTTTTGCCATTACCGAGATTTCTTTACTGGCTTGGTTATCTAGTTCCGTTCCTCATTCTGTCCCCTGATGATGAGGATGAAGAAATCAGGGATTATCTCGCCAAAAGAAAGCGACTAAAGAAAGGTGAGATCATCTTTTAAAACACCTTTAACATTTCTTATATTAAATCTAGGGACATTTTCTTATCGTTTTGTATGTAACGTATAATGTTATCAGCTTCCTCCCAAAGTGTCTTCACCGTGTAATCGTCATGAATAATTGAATCTGGGTGAGCTTAACTCCTTATTAGATTATCTTTATCTCATTATATCACTCTCCTCCACTTAACGTTCCTATTTCTATTCCACCTCAACATTTATTTCCAGATGTACATATGTATTATGCCATTTTCAGAGTTGAGGTTGTTCTCCATTCCAGCTGCTAGACAGCAATACTTGAAGCACTTTGGACAGTTCTACGTCTACGATCTTATCCCTTTTAGCGCTAAGTTTTGTCTCATTGACACTAACCTTACAGTGAGTTACTCTGTAAAATCGTTTTGTTTTCAAACACAAAAGTTTTAACCTGCTGTCACCATTATCTTTCATATCATTTAGTACAGTAACTATTGTGGTAGCCACAGTAGTTACTGTAAATGGGGTTTTTGCAATTTCATTACAATTTAAAAGTAGCAAATATAAACTTATTTAATTGCATCACTTACCAATCCTTATCAGGTAAAAGATACAGCCACTATATTCAAAGACTTAGGTAAGTAATTTTAATCACAATAACATGTGCTTTATTTGACTTTCAAACTTCTTGCAAGTTACTAAACAATGTGGCTTCTGTCTTGCTGCCCAATATTAATCCATCATCAACATCAAACATCGTGCATCTCACATTTAATGGCTTCATTTTCTTTGCCAAATTGTTCTATCATCACTAATCATTAAACACAGACCCACAATATCCCCGTTACATTACTCCCCGTTACCATGGTTACACTACAGGTATTGAAGAGGCTCCCTTGTTTGACAGCACCACCAGAACAATTGTCGGAGTTTGCAAGTCAAAGTCTTTTGTCAAGGCACTTCTTAGATGTACTGGCAGCTTTGTTGCAGTAAGTAATCTATTAGAGATGAATAATGTTGGTATTAGTACGTGAGATAATATACATGTAACCACTGGCCACCACAGAGAATGTGGCTCACTCTCTCTGAATCAGTATGTAAGTATAGTTAGTAGATAGTTTGTCGCACCAAAAGCTGCCCCAAAAACTGCTCAATGTTCATTTTTAAAGCCTGAAATTCGCGAGAATAAGGCATGTTGGTCTTTTCCCGCTTTAATCTTCGTTTTTTACTCGTATTAGGAATTCATGAGAACGTCTATCTAGATTCACTCAGAACATATTCTATAGAACAGATTCTAGTTGGCGGGAAATCCATTGAAAAGTACTGTAAATGAATCTCACATATTTCTTCAAGGCCGGATAATTTACCCCCCTTAACCTAATCATCAGCTAATTTCAGTGTTCATTATCTATTTGTGTCGGTATCGCATTACACATCATGACATTATCACTTTAGCGATTTTAGTCACTGTGGATAGCCCCGAATTGAGGGGGAGGGAGAGGGAGGGGTCTGGCGAAATAATATTTCCGGGCTGGTTGTTTTCAACAGATTGGATATCCTGTTATTTACTACATCAAAGAACTTTATGCTAGTAAAAGACTTTCATCATTCATTTTTTCCCACTAATCGCTCATTCTAAATTGTCATGATTTTTAAAAGTTCATTAGCTTTATCGAAACATGAGATCATAGAAAAAGAAACTGATAACTCCCTCTGGGCTCTGAGATCATAACTTTTGGAAGTTAACCAACAAAAGAAAAGAAACAATTTCCTTTACATGAGAATAATTAGATTTGACACTAGATACTTCAAACTTGAACTGTGATATTTCAGTGGAATTTGCACCAGTCAACAACCTATTCCTCGTGTTGTTATTTCAATAAACTTCTTGTGACAGCCCGAGTCTAGATATGGATATTACGTCATCATAACCTTTCCTGAAGATAAGCAGAGTGCATTTTTTGTTATCTTTCAAACATTAAGTCATGTGCATTCATACCGGTATATCCTGTTCAAAAAGATAAAAAGGGGGGAAGAAATCTCGTGACATATTGATAACAAAAAATGCTCTATTTCAGTACATACCTCACGTTAAAAATACTTTATTAAAATCCACAAATCACGTTTTTGAAACAATTAAGTTCGAATTTTATCAAATACCTCAGGATCATTAATTGCGAAAACTCACACAAGAGATACTGATGCAGGAATTTGAACAATGCCCACGTTTTAAACTGATAATTAATGTCATTCCTGTCTCTGTATTATAATAACCAAGATAATACAGTAAATATTGGACCTATTCCAACATTCAAATATTAAATGGTCATGGTAGCAGTGTTTGTTGGTTGGAGCCGACTTGTAGACGCCTCAAGATAAGGGCGCGGTCCTTGATAACATGTAACTCATTCTTTTGGCACGTTTTTACTGGACTTCTGCTGACGTCAATTGGATGGTACTCCAATGTCCTCTATATTTATATGTGACCTTATTAAGCGTAAATAAGCGTGACGACAAAATGGCGGTTTACCGGATCGTTTATTCTGGCTTCAGTCCAGATATTATATAATTATAGACTTGGCCGCTGTCTCAATATGATGAAATCGTAAAACTGTTGCGTCAGATCCCTAAATCATTTAGATGCTGTGACCGTGTCACGTGACCGTGTCAAATCCCTAAAATTGTCTTGCATTTCCAGGTTTATGAACGGTCTTTAGATGATTATAGTAATCCAATAAAGATATTTGCAGTGAAACACCCAAATCTAAGGCAAGAAAATTTAGGGAGAAATTTATATCCGAACCAATTCTGGAATAATCTCCAGAAAACGTTAAATTCGTATGAATAGAAAAACAAAACAGGTTTAGTTTGGATATCAGAGTTTCACAATAAAATAAGTTGTTACAGATAACTAAACACCTACGAGAACAATCTATCAGGAATCTGAATCAAGAATAAAAATATAAGTTTGTATTCTTTAAACATGGTAGATATAGTTATATCGCGTCGGATGTAACAGTACCACCGCCGCCGCTACTCAATCTCTCTCTCTCGGTTACGGTCAACGGACGCTGGCCTCCTGCGGTAAGCGGGAAGCCTTCTCGCCGTGCCCACAGAGTGCAACTCCTGCTAGCTACACGCCAGGCCTCCGCTCTTATTATACTCATAGCAGACAAAGAATACGTGGCTGCATCATGTACTGTCATGCCTTGAATAGCTCAGACGGGAAGTTGAACTACCACTTCGCACATGTCCTTGTTTGACTAACACATAATATGACAAATATGCAGCCGTAATTGCCAGGTGGCAGGTGGGCGCTACTTGCTAGTGATAATGTTCTAGAATAGTCTGGGAGAGTTAGAGTTTTGCTCGATTCTGTGATATATTGGGTTTTGGGATAGTTCTCAGATCCTGTCAGATACGTTTTTGGAGACAAGTTACCGGATTATCTTAATATATCTTACTTTACATACTTTTAAAGAGATTTATTTACAAGATCGTATCCTATTTTTACTTTTGACTTTTGAGATTCTTCTGCCAACTTATCATTAGCTTCTAAGATCATCAGTGTAAATGACTTTATAATATGGTATGCTGATATAATAGGCTTACACCAATTAAATTCCTTTTGACAATAGCAGGTTTAAATTAATACATTCTCCTTACAAAAGAGTAAAGCAGACACTAGACAGTATACTGTAAATGTAATTACAGATGATAATGCCAAATGCTATTTTAAATCTTTCATCGGAACTGAGAGAAACTTAAAACTTAAAAGGTATAATAAGATCTAAGAGTCCTATAAGAGCACACTAAAAGTAATTCACTAAACGATAATTTAGTTTTAATTGATTTAATTACATAATCGGGTATAGTGCTGGTATGATGATTGGTAGGTAGCTATGTCTTAGCAGCTGAGCAATATTGTACGCGGTGAGAGAGGTATGAAATTATCACGTGACTTAAATTCCTTCGTCGGATATAATATGTGCAGATAAATTCCATGTTACTGACCTCCTTTGCCGTGGGATACAGATATTAGTGCCATGATCTGCGATTCCACAGAATTTAGAGGCAGATAATTTTCATGATTTGAAATTCTATAGAATTTATAGGCTGACAACTTGTGATTCAGTATAATTTAAAGGCAGACAAGTTTTTAAATCTGTGAATTAGTTTTATAAAAGTGTGGATAAGTGCCATAGTCTGTGAATGTGTGTGGGATATTATAGGTGGAGATAATTGCCATGTAAGTTGTATGTTGGAATTGGGTGTGATAACAAGTTTTGAACTCTGTGGTTGTAGAATGTTCGTTACTGCAACTTATATACTTCGGTAAGGAGGAAATAAGCTAGTTTTAACCAAAAGTGTAACCACAGCTCCACAGATATTACATCATCAGATCTGTACGAGAACAATAACTGTATTCCTCCCTCATCAAAGTTAACAGTTATTTTCCATGTACCTTGTATGGATCTATTAAATGTTTACAATCGTTACCACTTACCAATACAGTGAATATTATACACAACACGTAAAAACTCCATTCAATTTATTATCTTGAACAACAATTCAGAGTCTAGATAACATAGTCTAGATAACATAGTGTAGATAACATAGTCTAGATAACATAGTCTAGATAACATAGTGTAGATAACATAGTCTAGATAACATAGTCTAGATAACATAGTGTAGATAACATAGTGTAGATAACATAGTCTAGATAACATAGTCTAGATAACATAGTGTAGATAACATAGTGTAGATAACATAGTGTAGATAACATAGTGTAGATAACATAGTGTAGATAACATAGTGTAGATAACATAGTGTAGATAACATAGTGTAGATAACATAGTCTAGATAACATAGTCTAGATAACAGGTTACATTCCCAGTCCTCAGTCCTCTACCTACGTCATGGAGGAAATAACAGCACCGCATCATTAACTCCTCCTATGTATGTAATGTAATGAGTACAGTTTATTATAGTAGCATTATTATAGTAGTATTCTAGTATATCATACGCTATACACTATACAAGGGAGGGGATAGTGAGAAGTGATCTCATTTCCGCCTTAACACAGCTCGTAATTATGTTACCTTCGATTCGTCCAAATAAAGCTATATATTACAGCTTTTTATCTAGAAGTGAAACAAATTCTTCATAGTAAGTGTATTGATAGAGTCGTTCACGGGTTTTGCCAGAGTCGAGGGATGAAGTCATGGTTACAAAGACTTCCGTGTTGTTGTTATTCTTCATACATAGTAATACTTGGCATGAAGTCAAAATTTGTGATCCACAATCCAATAAATACATTGCCTAGATACTAACCCACTTCTCTGGGTTAAAATTATTGGTGACCATGATACCAACATATACTAAAAGTACCATACTTTATATAAAATCTTGAGTAAGTCTGTATTAAGAGTACGTGTTTTTCTGATTTCAATATAAACATGATCTAAGAGCTAAGAATTCTAAGAAGAATTACGTGATTCATTAAAGGGTTGCGTGTGGGCAGTTACTTCTGCGCCACCCTGTACTTTATAAAATCTTTAGTAAGTCTGTATATTAAGAGTACGTGATTTTCTGACTTCAATAATCAATATAAACATGATCTAAGGGGTCAATGTCATTGGAGACAGTATTATTAACTTATGCTGTGTAAAGAGTATGTGCTTTGCTGACTTCAATATGTCTGAATATTAATCAGAAAGATAGAACAGTAGATATACGAGCACAGCTTACGTTTAACACCTTGACTGTGCACAGCATACTGTTTTAGAAGCAATCTCGCTCTTTAGGCACGAGGGTTTAATGAGAGCACACAATCAAGAAACTAAATGACTACACGGTCAGTTTAATATGGTGCTTTAGAGAGTAACCAATCAAACTCCAGCACCAGTATCACGTGACCAGCACCAGTGTCACGTGTTATATCGTCACAGTGTCACGTGCAGTACTGTCTGGATCAGCGCGCGGCTCT